GAAGGAGGTATTGTTGGCAACAGGATGAAATTGCATGTTTTCAGGTAAAGTGATATGAGCCCTGAGCCAGGCCAAGCATTTATCCATCTGTACGTCCTCTTTTTCAGAACCCCAGTTGAACTCCTCAAATGTTCTATTCACGGGTGGAACCTCAAATTCCACGGATACCCTCTGTAGGCCAAGATAATTCATGATACTCTTGTATTGTGAAGTGGAGACTCTCGATATGGAGATTTCGACCGACATTTGGCGGAGTGCTAAATTATATGAGCTGATATAGACAAGGAATATACAAGGTAGAACCCTACCTTTAACATCCTCCCGGATCTCTTCGAGAATATCTAGCTTACGCTTGAGGCTCTCATCTTGCCCGATATCGGGAGTGGCGACGGGAACAGCTTGAAGATATCAGTATAAGATATTATATTATAGCAAGGGGAAGCTTACGCTGTGGTGGATTGACCACGAAGGTGATGAGTTCCTGGACACTGATTGCCACGCCAAGAGGCAGCCGGCAATCCTTTACAAGCATCTCCACAGTCATCTTGCAGAAATGACGTCCACGGATTTTACTCTCGTAGATAAGGTCGATATCTTCTTGGTCAAGACCGTATGCATCCTTGTTGTCCTCAAGATACATTTTCACATGGCCTCTGTTCCAGTGCCGGAAATTTGGCGGGAGGTCGGGAGGGATGTTGGGGTGCTCGGGATTGCCGACGGTATTAGAGCTATCTGGGTCTACTGCAGGAGGCATACTGACGCAACTGGGGTGGTGAACTATGGAAATAAAATGGGGCTCGACCCACTGATCTTCTGATCTTGTGGGGAATCTGTATGATGTGAAGGAGGAATATGTTCGTTGTATTGGTTGAGGAACACAAGAGGAGGAGAATGAGAACCCTACATAGAGATGAACCATGACTCCAAATTCCCATTTAAAGTTAGTCTAATTTTTAGTGCGTCAGTAGTAAGAGAAGACCTCTACTCCGTACCAGCAGTGTGGTTGTGCAGTGGCATAGACTAGTTGTGCAGGTATAACTAAGCTACCTAGCACATGCTGACACATGATTATTTCACGTGCGGTACTGTTCACATGCAGTACTGATTTCTTGTTTTATGTATGTTATGACTTCATGCTATGACTTATGTTCATCGCTTCTCGTTCTATGCGTTCATCTGGACGTCACTCTGATTTATTCGCAGGAGGTGTGGATGGCATCCACTTATGTGTATACAAGTGCGGGAGCGGCCTTCGGCCGGTCAGCTTGTTGTAGGTAGAATTTCTTGCTTGCTTGGCATTTTGCTCGGCTTGGCATTTCGAGTTCTTTAGATTTCTTTCTTTAATCTCCGACGCAACCTATACATACATACATCACATCATCCTACACCGGCCATGGCAAGACCCTGTTTCTCTGCATCTGCTACATTTGCAAGGGGCCCAGTCGGGATTCCCCCTGCGTTCCTGGCTGGCTGCTGCTTCCCTACCCCCCGATTCCCTGATTCCCCGCCTCGTGGCTTGCGCAACGCAGCTGTATTGGACCGGATCCGGAAGTCGACATCGTGGACTCCATGACCCAGACTAGCGTCGTGCATATACGACATTCCTTTCTCTTCTATCTTCAAAAAAGCCATCTTCAAAGAATCCAGTATCTGTATTCTTTTCGCAGTTCATCGAATTTGATTACGACCCCTTGAGGCTGAGTGTTTCCCTAGTCTTGGAGTTTAACAGACTAGCCACCCGCTCCAGGACCCAAACGCAACGGCCACGTTGAAACGGTAGTCTGGTTGGCACTTGAAACGGTATCGCATAGCCTTGCAGAACGTATGCCCCAGGAAAACACTGAATCCGACAAGAAGTCCGTTTTTTCTTTCTCTTTTTAATAATTATTACTCGCATTGACGCAGCTCGCTTATGGAGAGAATGTCAGGCCTTTCAGCGCCTCGCGGCTCCAGTTTATCTATTTCGATTTCCACTCATGGGGAAGGATTGTTTGATGCCAGCCCAGTGTTGCGATATCAGAACTAAGCATCCTTTTACCTATCCACGCGGACCCTTTCGCCTTCCTGTCTACCATCTCCATTTACGGACACTCCGCTATAACCTTTCACCCACATCACTGTCCGCCTTTCATCTACCTTCAATTCCCTTGGTATTAAATCCAGGATCGCTGCTGGTCGAACTGTAAGTTGACTAGGTGTCCATTGGTCCCTTAACTGTCTAGAGCAACTGTCGATCTACCTGCTTGCCATGCCATCACGACACCCAGGAGTTCTGCATTAGTCACTGTCGCAAGGGACCCAAGATATTGCTTCTCTCCTACGGCTGCTGCTGCCGCTGATACCTCCTTCTGCCTAGAGTTGTCTGCTCAAGCCTGGATTACATCCAGCTCCTCCATCTCGAGGACTGGCTCCTTCCTGTTCCTGTTCCACTCCCCGGGAACCCAGCTCCCACCTAGGTTCCCTTCCCTAAACAGTATCAAACCCATTACCCTCTCCCTATCTCCGTAGTTAATTTGCTGGCTCTTTGGCCCTGGTCCAGCTTTGAAGCAACCTGATGAACTACTTCTGCAGCTACTGGGTTTGAATGTGCCCTTTGCACCTTAAACCTCGTTACTAAATCCTCGCTCACTTCAATGTGGACTAGTTATGGCTAACCCTGACGTCCTGACATCCCGACGAGTTGCTCACTCTGCCCTTGCCAATCCCAGTTGTATTTCGACCCCTTAGGGCCCCTAACAAGACTTGAAGATTAGCATATACAGTTTGAGACTATCAGAATGCGTAGACCACGAGTTGCTGCAATCGAAGACTAACTAGCATGAGTGTCGCTGAGACCGAGCAGGCAGGGGGGCTTCAGGAGGGGGGTGAGGCTCGCCGCACACTCGTCGGATGTTGCGTATATTTTGGTTTCTCTTTCCTTTGCGTCCTCTTGCTACTTGTACATAGTTCGCGCAGGGCGTCAGACTAACTTGACTGTCCCTTGAATCCACCCGGGTTTCCGGGTGGCTCGTCATACGACCCTTAAGGTTGTGCATACGAGTACTGAGTTCAAAAAAAAAAAAAAAAAAAAAGTCGCTGAGACCGAACCCGGCTTTAGAACCGTCCCGTCGAGCCCAGAGCCCTCTACCGACTACCGACTTCTCGGGGATTTATAGTCCGTAGACTAGGCCTATAGCGCCACAATAAGATGGAAACTATGTCTAGGGCGGCGTTCGAATCCGCCCTAGGGAGCATCGCCGGGAGTCTCCGCATAGCGACAGGAGGAATTCGCGCACTCTTGGACGCGCCTCCCAGCACACGAGTAATGAGTTCGAGAGAAAAAAAAAAAAAAGAGGACCCTTCAACAGCTGGCTTCACACTATAGGAAGAACAGCCTCCCCAATCTACCCCCACTGTGACCACCCATCGGAGGACGGCCACCACGTCACCTTCATCTGCCCTCGGCATCACCAGCAACACAGCAGGCTCAGCGGGCGCTTTGTGGCCTGGGAAGCGCTGGACCACCCGATCTGGAAAAAGGAAGAAGAAGAAGAAGAGGAATTGAACGCGGTCAAGGCCTTCTTTGCCTACTGTACCGTTCGCTCGCTGGGAGCTACTGTTTTTTTCCCCTCTGGAGGGAGCCGGTAGATAAGTTTTTTTTTTTTCTTCTTTCGTGTATCTATTCCTGCCGGGCAGGCAAATTAACTTGCCCCCTAGATCGACCCGGGCTTCTAGGTGGCTCGTCATGCGACTACTAAGGTTGCACACACGAGCAATGTTTTTTTCTTTTTAAAAATGGAAAACCTACAATCCAAGGGGTCAGATCCTAACACCGACCGCGTGCACAAGACCTCTAAAGAGAATACAAACTCGAGCACTTCAATTGCTGCCCATGTCGTTTTTGCTGGTATATATCACTTCATCCCTGGTAACTCGATCGGTAACTACCAGGATCGCATTGAATCTTTCCGACTCAGGTAGTTCTGCTACAATGTCCATTGCTATCTCTTCCCGGCCCACGGCCTATTTCCTATAGGCATAGGTACTAGCTTAATTTGCTTAGAATGCCTATCGGCTTGCTTTGCCTTCTGACATGGTATGCATCCAGCGGCATAGGAGTTAACGCCTTCTTGCCAGTGGTACTTATTAAATCCCGGCTTACAAGTTCCATAGTTCTCGTGTAGAGGTGTTTCAGCAATGTCACGGTATTAAGACATCCTGGGAGGAAGGCGTGGCTTTAGAGAAATACCTGGAAGAGAACCTCCCTTCCCGGGAGATTAGAAGATCTAGATCAGCAGCAGGAGCCCCAATTCTATTTGTTCGCAAGAAGGACGGCACATTGCGACTGTATATCGACTACCAAGGGCCTGAATCGCATTACGATACCCAATGGATACCCTTTACCTCCTCGAGGGTCGAAAATAAGACTCTGGAAGCGACTGATAGATATCGATAATGGTACTATAAACAATGTTCCTGATGTAGTAATATCCCTCTAAACAGTGTAAGTCAGTACAAAAAGGCGTGATCAAGTACTTGACCCCGTCCACTTGACAGTAGCTACGACGCTAGCATCCGTCTTCTGTCTCACTCCCGATCTTCATTAACATCTTTAACTTCGTTCAGTACCTATGACTCTGCGGATATCTCCGCAGATTTCCTAATTTTAGGGCGCTTGATTGAAAAGAAGGTTTTTCCCTAAATACTGACTCCACGATAGCACGGTTTCGGTTTCTTATTGAGGTAATGTCAAACAAGACACACTCTAAACCACTAAATAGGCATGGCATCGACGTCAGCGACTATAAGCTTTCTCTTTTCTTCCTTTTCCTTTGATTTTTATTACACAAAACTTGAGTAAAAGACCACAGCAGGTTTCTAGAAAAATGTCTTGCTTATCTCAGTAACATCCTAAGAATCCACAATAAAGGTCTCGACAATCTTTAAACAAAACTAAATTCTTTAGTTAAAAAGAGTTTGTAATGGATATTAGTGCGAGAAAAACCTGTGCAAAAGATAAGCGACCACACCAGGAGTCGAACCTGGAATCTCTTGATTTCGAAATGTTAATCGTAGTCAAGCGCCTTGACCATTGGGCCATGCGGCCATTGTTGAAAACAATTATTGACAACTTACTAACTGAATCGTATTTCGTAGGACTAACTTACCAACTATTGCAGCTTACAGAGACTGAACCTTATTGCTTCATGCTTAAAACAAGCTTATCAATTATATAAGGTATCTATATAAAAGTCGGGGTATATATAAAGTTCAAGTTACCTACTTAGTAGCTACCGCAGTTTCTGGGACATACACACATTACCCTCAATGATCAACAACATACAAGCCTCAATATCAATACGTCCCTGGATCCAGTATGACAACTTATAGATCTAGGCTGCAGTGGGTATGTAGCTATAAACTTTTCCCTTATTTACTTCTCACTGGGAAATATTCAATTTCTGCGGTCGGACAGGCAAAAACTGTTCTCGCAAACCTTACTGGTTCACATTGTGAGAAAACTTAACTATATATAGGATGACTACATGTTCTTTTTTTATGATTTACAAAACAGGATCAACCAAGCAAAAAAAAAAGAAAGATGGGTAGGAAGGAGAGAGTATATATATACCATCTCCTTTCTGACTAATTCAGCCATCTTTCCGTCAAATGTTCTAATTCTCCCGTTTCCATTGATCCAATTACAAAGGATAGGCCGAAGCATTAACCTTGGTACGTCTAAGCTATAATCTTGCGATACTCATTAGAAAAGTAATAAAGCTGACGATTTCATTTAAGTGAATATCAAAATGGCGTTGGATTCAAGACCCCAACTATTGGCCTCTCAGACACTATCTCTTCTCCCAGGGATGGACCCATACCAGAGAGCTAGGAGGATTGGGAGAATCACCCTCCACTTGAGTCCAAGGGATAACAGAGAGAGATATGCAGTTGGGCTCAGACGGGTGAAACAATACCGAAAAATACGAGCTCTGAAAAATGCTCGAAAGTTGCTTGAAAAGGCTAGACGCTTGATCAAATCACGAACCGACGCTCTAGAAGTCATGAAAAATAAGGAAAAGGAACCAGAATCTCCTTTTGCTAATGACCTTCTCTCCATCACAAGGAATATCGAAAGCCTAGATTTGGAGGACAATCGAACTATTAATCAAGTTCGAGAAGTCCCAGCCGCAACCATCACTGCCCCAGCTGAAGACCGAAAGACCATTTTGAACATCACAAAGAGCATTGATGGTCTAAATTTGGAGGACAATCAGGAAACTTACCAAGAAGTTCCGGAAGTCGGCAACATCACCATCACTGCTCCGGCAGACGATCGAAAGATTATTTTGAAAGTGGATTTTGGGAATGGCTGTCTGAGCAGTGAGATTCGGGGAGGACAGCAACACGTTTTCTCAGTCGAAGACAAGCAAGCAAAGGTGGACGACTACCAAGCAGAGAATGCCACGGTACCATATTTCCAGACTACACTTCCCATTCGGGTTAGCGGCGAGTATAACGGCGGTGGAAATATCAGGATCGAAGACGCCAACAGAACTATCGTTAGTTCTGCCAGTGGGAGTCCTAATGATGGAATTAGTGAAATTGAAATCAACTAAGAGGCCATTAAACATGAGGAGCCCGATGAACAATGCAGCACATTAGCGCTTGCTCTGAAAACGTTAAGGAAGAACATTTCGGCGTGACAGTCGAGCCACGATCCCATCTTCCAAGAAGTGTCTCTATTAAAGTTCTGACGGAATAGTAAAGGTTTAAAGTCCTCAACCCTAGGCTGGGAAAATTCTTCAGTCAGTATTTTGATTTTTAGTTATCCCATATTTTATTGATAGCGTTTCTGTCTTCTGATTCATCTGTCTTTACCTATCTATGCTTTAAGATCTTTTGTAATGTGATCTTTTCCTGTCTATCGGATCCTGAACTCACTCCTTTGTCTTACTACTTGTATTATTGTTATGATTCGTTGTCTGTTGGACCACATGTATGTAAGTTATCAATTGAATAAAAGGTTTAACCCCATATACACAGAATGGATAAACCAAGAAATTATATCCTGCCTGGATATGGAAAAACGCTCGAAGAACCAAGGGATAGGTGAGGGTGAGGTCTCTTTACCTTCCTTGGAGTGCTATATTAAGCCCTACGTCTCTTCTAGGTAGATCTTAGTTGTAAAGCGAATATGTTGATTAATATACAAGGCAAGATAAACTTATGCATGAGTAGGTTTTGACGGCATATGTGTCGGCCAAGGAACTTTAGTTGCATGCTGCTCAATTGCACAGGTTCTATTACCCTGAACTCGCATTGCCGAGATTTAGTTTCCCTAGCCTATATTGTTGAAAGGAATACGATGAACCACCAGTTAATCAATGAGACCGAACTATTTCAATCCCTGATGAGAAGTACCCATCGACATATTACTACATAAATAGAGGTGAGTAACAGAACTATAAAACTACGTAACTCTCAATTGAAAACCCTCTAGCCTTTTTAGAATTCACAGTCATGATAGAAGACCAAAAAAGGAAGATCATTCTCCAACGGTGCAATAGCCAGCCTTTATAAACATGTGTTTCCGTCACTAATCACTGACTAGGAGCTCTACACTGAACAAAACTATTCAATCAACAGAATTTGTCAATAGATATCAAGTACAGGTAAATGTGCATGTACATCAGTCTTTATTGGCATCGAGATACACTTAATTGATGAGGAATATGGAAATACATCTCCAGTGTACTATTGCCGGTGCCAAGAAATCCTCCTTTGGAGGTTATTGTGCCAACCAGACTACCAAGAAATAAGAAATACAGCTTCCCCAATAGGTAACCACAACTAGCACATGGTTGGATAAGTGATTTGTAATGCATATGCATATGCAGGCGCAGTTAAAAGCACAAGATTTTGTGTAACGTAACATTTTATCCATTCCCTGCAAGGAGACCGGGCTGAGTAAGATTGCAAGATATCACTACGAGAGGCCACTGCCCTCCAGACTACTCCAGATATTGATCTCCTCGGCAATTATGAGGCGTGATGGGTATTCCTGTCACGCGTTGAGATTGTTAAACTTTAACTACTGCATTCTGGATCCCAGGAATCGTGTCGACATGAACAACGTATCCTGGGCTGATCACACGCAACAGTCTCATCTTTGGTGTCAGGTGATTATAAACCCCTGTGCATGCATGTGCGTCTTCATTCAGCTGACGCCAATTGCCAATGAAATACTATTACACTCTGGTAATCACTACATAGCCTGTCGAACTCGCATTCTGACAGGATGTTCCATATGAACCGAATTCAAAGATCCTGGCCACAGAGGCACAAGGAACGACAACGCTTCCCCTGAATTTTGAGGCTTGGTTGGTGGTGGGATACATATTTTCTAAAGCCCATTTCTTCACTCTATACAGAGTTGAAGGTGTCCCTCTGACTACTTATTGTTCATCAGTGCTCCGCGGCTAGCTATCAGGGCTGGTATTTGATTTCAATATGAAGCTAGTGAGGTCGATGACTGTGGCAATTGCTGGAATTTTGTTGGCGCGTGGAGGTGCAGTGCAAATTAGAGGCACCTTCTCTGTTCTTTCATATAATATTGCTGGATTGCCTGGTAGGTATGTTCTGCAACCTCAAAAAGCATCAAACTCTGTTTAACCTTATTGTCAGAGCCCCTGTCGAGTAGTAATCCAGTGAACAACACACCTATAATATCATCACGGGTGAATCAGTATGATATTGTCCACGTGCAAGAAGGTAGGTGAAAACTCATCTCCCTCCATTGTGTATTCCATTGCTAATCTCAGAGACTAGACTTTGCCTATCATGACCTGCTTCTTAAAGAAGACAAACATCCATTTCAGACGAAAACAACTGGGAACGTCCCATATGGCTCCGGTTTAAACACACTTTCCCAGTATCCTTTCAGTGATCTCAAACGGATTACTTGGGCCGCTTGCTGGATCGGGGATGGAGACTGTCTGACGCCCAAGGGTTTCACCTCGATGCGTGTGAATATTGCCCCAGGTGTAATGATTGACATGTACAACCTCCATGGCGAAGCAGGGAATGGTGAGAAGGACTCCCTCGCGCGGAGACTGGGTTTTCAGCAGCTTCGGAAGTACCTAGACGCTGAATCAACGGGACAACCGGTGATACTTTTCGGAGACACCAACTGCCGTTATACAGCGAAAGACCCAATTCTCCGTCTCACAGAAGGTGATGATGGACTTACCGATGTATGGGTACAGCTTCTTCGAGGTGGGAGTCCTCCTGAATCGGGAACGCCAAGCGTCGAATGCCCATTCCCAAACCCAAATCCTGGCACACCGGTCGATACTACGTGTGAGTTGATCGACAAGATTCTTTATCGTTCCTCTCCACTCGTAAGACTAAATCCACAGCAATACCTAAATGAGGATCTCAATTTCTTGGCTCCCTCCGGAGGTTCGCTTAGCGACCACTACCCTGTCACGGCGTCCTTTACATGGGAGTTAAATCCCGTCCTCCGTGCTGGAGCTGACTATGTTGGATTAGCCTCTGAAGGTGCCAATGAAGGGAAACGGTTCAGTGATCTCCCCTCTAGTAGTGTGAGCTTTGCAGCAGCTTTATGGGAGAGCGGATATATTACAGAGCTCGAACTACGAAGCGGCTTACGACTAGACGCACTTTCCTACACAATCAACAATGGAGAGAAGAAGAAACGAGGCGGCTGTGGTGGCCTGTCTTCTTCGACGCTGAAAATTGATGTTGCGAATAAAGAAACAGTGACATATGTGGAAGCTTGCGAGGGGCCAGGTGAGCTGTGTGGAAGCCTTACAGTGGTATATTTCCGTGTTCAAACATCTTTAGGGCAGTCGGCCGAGGCAGGAGAGAAACCTCTGGCTAAAGAAGGACGATGCTCTGTGTGGAGAGCGCCTGGAGAGGGGTGGACTTTGGTGGGTTTCCAGGGGAGAGCTGGGAAGGAAGTGGAGAGTTTGGGGGTATTATGGGGAAAGGTTTTCTGAAGTCGATATGTGCCAGGAAATAGGTTTCGAGAAATGTAATAGAGGCGATAGCTATGAAGTAATGGATGATCATCTAGCAGCG